TTAGACTTCCGGTATATACCTTGTTGTACTGCAGTAATGAGGGTCTACACTGTTGAGATGGGCCCCCAACAAGTCTATGCAGGGCGAAAGGCACTCAAATTCCATGGATCCCTTGTGCCTGTGCCTCAGGCAAAGGAGCTGTGCCTACCTTGGGTTCCTGGCTTAGGGGAGCCGGCAGTTTACTTTTTTCCCATTTATTAATTTGTTCACTCTCCAAGGCAGGGAGAATGGCTCCTGCCATATGATGGATCCTACTTCTGGCTCAGGGGACTCGGCCATTGCTGAAGCCAGTCTGGGACCCAGTGCAGAGCAGGGGGTGGGGAAGTAAATGGGAGAGAGGTTTTTCCCTAAGGGGGGTTTTTTGATCCGCGTGGTTGGCCATATGCAATTACTTATCTTTTGCCAATCCAGGGCTACTTCTCAGTGGCTCTGGGTGGCTGTGTAGACTCTCTGGCACTGGGTTTCTCCCAGTGTGTAAAACACACCTCCTGGCACCACCGCTTGCCTGCCTCACCGCTCACCCCCAAGCTGCTCTGGTCTGAAGGGCTCAGGCTCTCACTGGGTCAGGTTTGGCAACTCCTGGCCGCTTCCGAACCATCTCTCCCTCCATCCCAGTCAGTCTGGTTCCTCAACTCTGCCTTTGATGTTCAGGGCTCCCAGAATGCCATATATAATCAATTCACTTTTTTTTCGGGTCTTTGTTTTAAGAAGGTCCACTGGAAGCGTCTGACTACTCTGCCATCTTGGCCCCACCTCTGTTGTTGTTATTCTTTAAAAGACTTTTATGTCTATGAGTTTCTTTTAAAATCAGTGTAAACTTTTTGTGCTTTGCCTAGAATTTGCTTTCTCAAGTCTACCTTACTTATCCCTGACTGTGTTTTCAGAAATGTCTCTTTTGTTTTTTATTTCCCTTAATATGGCTTTAATTTGTAATATTAAGATTTTTATGTTTGTTTCCTTCTTTGGTATCTTATGCATCTTCTTTTAGCTCTTATTTTAACAAAAAGCCACATTTTCTTTACTTCCTTTAGACTTGCCAAGAGTTTTCAATTTTTTTTTTCTGCCCTGTGGCTGGGTTCTTCTGTAGAGATTATTTCATATGCATTGTGTTGAATTCCTTTATTTTTTCTTCATATTGTGATGATGTCTGTGTCTAAGCCCCACACTATTTTCTTGCTGAGTGTTATTCATTTTTTTAACATGGCTAGTTGCTATAATATGGGGAAAATAACAAGTGTTGTTGTGGCTATGGAGAAATTGGAACTTTTGTGTACTGATAGTGGGATTGTAAAATGGTGCAGCCACTATGGAAAACAATTTTATGGTTCCTTAAAAAGTTCAACACATTATTACCATATAACCCAGTAATTCCACTCCAGGTATATATCCAAAAGAATTGAAAGCAGAAATTCAGACAGATACTTATACACCAATGTTCACTGCAGCACTATTCACAGTAGCCAAAAGGTGAAAACAGCTCAAGTGTCCATCAGTAGATGAATTTATAAACAAAATGCAGTATATACATACAATGGAAAGTGATAAACTTCTTTTATATTTGTGGAAAATTTGTCATAAACCCATGTTTATTTATGGAATAATGTTGTGTCACGTGGATATGACATTATTTATTAACTGTTCCATTATTATTTTTTAACTTCCCATTCCCTGGTAACGTAAAGAGAAATGAGATTCTGATACATACTACAACATGGATGAATCTTGAAAATGTTATGCTGAGTGAAATAAGTCAGCCACAAAAGGACAAACATTTGTGTGATCCCACTTACATGAAATATCTAGAATAGGCAAATTCATCTGGAAGAAAGATTAGCTGTTACCAGGTGCTAAGGGAGAGGGAAATGGGGAGTTGCAAAAATAATCATGAAATGGTTAACAACTAATGTCACATCCATGTGACAAAATATTATTCCATAAGTAAACGTGTGTTTATGACAAATTTTCCACTGATACAAAAAATATTTATCATATGAAAGACAGAATATAAAACTGAGTGAACAATGTGATAATCAAGTGTATAAAACACTATGAGCGAAAGGAGAAAAATGCACCAAAATCATAAACATGGTTATTCTGGATGGTGACATTGGGGAAAAAAAATAAAAACTGTATGAATAACTTCAAATATAAGAATCAGCACAAAGCCAGTTCCTGTGAGGTGGAGGTCAAGTACATCCCAGATTTCCACATTCTCCAAGTTGCTGTACCACCCATCTCTGACACCAGCTGCTGTCCTTCCTCTCAGCACTTTTCCCTCCCCTGTTTGAGTTTGAGAATTCACTGCAACATCTCACAAAACTCACGAACTGTATTTACATTTAAGTGGTTTGTTAAGGAACAGGGTACAACATGGGATCAGGATCAACAGGCTACAACTCAGGAAATTAGGATCAGGAAGCATGTGGGCAGAGTCTCTCTTCAGTGCAGGACAGCCCTCTCAACTCCCGTTGGCCCCTGAGGACAGGATCCTCTTGGCATCCTCAGGACAGGCTCCTCATCTACCCTGAGATGAGAAGAACTAGGTGGTGCCTGGCTACCACCACTGACCGTTCTGACCGGGGTCACAATAAACCTGTTGCCGTCAAGTCAATTCTGACTCATAGAGACTCTGTAGGACAGAGTAGAACTGCCCCATAGGGTTTCCAAGGAGCGGCTGGTGGATTTGAACTGTCTACCTTTTGGTTAGCAGCCAGCTGTTAACCACTGTGCCACCAGGGCTCCTTTAGGAACATACTGTAAATTATATCCTATAGCTATAATCACATCGTATTCAACATGAAAATACAAAGATGCTTACCTTGGCATTATTTGGAAAAACAAAATATTAGAACAACCTTCATGGACAGTGACAGCTATTTGGTTAAGTTAATTATGGTTCATCCAAACATTAAAAAGAGTAAAGAGTATGTCTGTATGCACTAAATAGATGGTCCCAAATAGAATGGGAGAAAAATGTGAAACAAAACTCAACTTCTTAAAATGGCCAGACTAGCTGGACCAGTGGAGACTAGAGGACTCCCTGAGACTTACTGTGCTGAGACGCTCTTTAAACCTTGAACCAAAACTATCCCTTGAGGTCACCTTTTAGCAAAATAGCAGAGTGGCACTCAAAATAAAGGATATTACCCACAAGAATGGTGCTCTACTAAAGAATCACCTGTATGAGACTGAAAGGTCAACATTTACTCTAAAGCAAAGATGAGAAGATAAGGGGCAGGGAAACTAGAGTACTGGAGATGGAACAACCAGAACACAATTAAAGGGAATATTGACAATTGTGAAAAATGTAACTGATGTCACTGAACAAGTTGCGTGGAAATTGTCAAATGGAAATCTAACTTGCTGTGTAAACTTTCATCAAAAGCACAATAAAGTATTGTTTAAAAAAGAGAGAGAGAGAGAGCGAATGGCTGTGTGGAGGGGTTTTTCAAAGTTAACAAGCTTATCTTAGACTTAGGAAAGAGCCTTCATAATTTTTGAGTTAAGGAATGAGATGGTGAAAGATGTGCCTAAGAAAAATTTATTTTGCGATTGAATTGAGGTATTTAATCCCACTGGGACTTAGTGAATCCCTGTTTTGTACCAAGTATCGCATAGGGTATACTGTGCATAGAGCAGCATCGAAAATAATTCCTATCTCAAGAAGCTCAGTCTGGTAGCATCAAGAGACTGATTTTGAAAATTTGACAGTAAAATTTTAGTATCACGGTCAACAATTACTTTAAAACAAAGATGAGAATGTAAGGGGACAGGGAAATTAGATTAATGGAAATGGAACAACCAGAATGGAAACAATGAGAATGTTCACACATTGTAATGAACGTAACCAATGTCACTGAACAACTTGTGCAGAAATTGTTGAATGGGCACCGAAACTGCTGTGTAAACCTTCACCAAAAAACAATAAAATATTACTGAAAAATTTTTTAGTAGCAGAGTTTATCTCAACTCGGTGTCATGAGGTAGCTGTTCTTTGTTGTCAGTTCGGTTCTACCATACTAACTGATTAAGTCTGTCATGTTTTTACATTGCTAAAGCAGATTTTGTGATCTACATGGAATATGTTAGGGAAGGGTGGGTGGCAGTTTGAGTGTAGGCAAATTCACCGGAATCCTGTTGTATCATATAAATTCAGCTGGATTTTAAACAGTATTTTATGTTCCATATTTCAGTATTCATTCCCTTCTATGTCAGACTATTGTCCATCCTCCTCACCATTCACCCTGCCCCTCTTACCCTCCATTCTTCCCTCCTCCATGTCCTCACCTAATTATATGCTTGGCGATCGTTCTCCTCTCTAAGACAGTTCTATCCCTTTGTCGTACATTCTGGTGCTTTGCTCTGAAGTTTTTTATGTCAGTCTTGCCCAGTCAATTAGAATGATAAACTACTTGAAGGCATAAGTGATAGTCTGCATTGTATTTATTTACATATCCCCTGTCATTCCAAAGGAGGATTTGAGGCATGTTCCTTTTATAATATTATATTTTGATCTTTTCTCAGTGGTTGACATCCAATTAAGGAGGGTCACTATTGCATGAACTAAGAATTTTTTTTTTTAATTTATGATTTTTGTCTCTTTGAAAAGTCCCACCAAGATAAATCACATTTAATAAATCCACTTTACAAGATAAAAGAACATGAAGCGAGACTCTTTCAGTCAGTGAGAAAGTGTTGACACAAGACATATTAGGCATAAATTAGTTGTTTTTCTGTAAACATTTGTATATTACCTCTCATAAGTTATTTATTTAACCATACTGATGTGTGCCTTAAATCTCATTCTTCTTTCAAATGTTGACGCCTGTGATCTTGAGGATTTATATTTTATGAACGAACAACTGCTATGGTCTTATGGCTAATGATTCCTTAGCAGATGTGTCCAGCTGGTGGTCCACATTCCCCCACTACTTCTTCAGTGAGTGGAAACATTTAGGTCAATATTGATATAAAACTTCATGAACTTTCTTCTCTTTCAGCTTTGGTTCGCCTTTGTTAATGGATTTTCTGGGCAGATTCTATTTGAACGTTGGTGCATCGGCTTGTACAATGTGGTAAGTATTCTCTACCTCTATCTGATAGCATGCAGAACTTCAGTGACATTCCTTGGCTGTTTATGTCTGGGAAGTGTATCTAAGTCAATCATCTCTGTACATAGCAGGCAGCACACATACATCTTTAGGGCCTTTGTTGCTGAGAAACATCCTACAGAAGCCAAACTCTCCACACATGGTTTCAATCATAGCAGATCATTCTGGAATAATAACCCCATGAAATTATTAACCCATATATCTTGATAATAGACCCTCGTTACCTCCTTATTAAATGCCTGTGCAACATTTTCATGTTTTTAACTCAAGCAAAAATGTCTGAACTACATCTCAACTTATTCCATTTCATAGTTTTATTTCTGAATTCTTAAACAGAGATATGAGTAGGCAGTATGTGATCTAGTGTCCTCTTTGTCCTTCTTAAAAAGGATCTGTCCTTGTGGAAGAATGTGTTCGTACACAGTTAGGGCTAAAATAATGAATTCTGATTTCCAGCCCCTGTGGTGAATGGTAATCAGCTTACTTGATAGTTTTCATGAATTTGAGGTTATTTTTTCATTACTTGGCTATAATGAATTCAAAAGCTGGAAATAAATATAAACTGCAGGCTGAAATGACTCTGACTGCTTTGTGTTCTTCTTTGTGTTTTACTGGCAGGACGAAGGAAGGGACTTCTATTCGTGTGTTAGAGACCCAGTGCAGCCCATCTCTCTAGCTGCACTATCCCACTTGCTTGGGACCCTGGCACTCTCTGCCCTGTGGGAGTTCGCATTCTGAAACGGCCATCATAGATGGGAATAGATAGAAGCTATCAGCCCTCCAATAATATAAATTGTGGTGCTATAAATATTTATGGCTTGTGTATACATCTGTGGCTGGATGTTCAAGTCATCTGTGCACTCAACCCCCTTTTTTTTTTTTTGAGTAGCCTTTCTGCTAGATGCTGGCTATAAAATGATGAATAAAACAAGTTGCCCCTGGCCCTGTGGAGCTCATGGATTAAGAGGGTCAGATGGTTAGAATAAGACTCCACTGAGTCTCAGTTGGAGCCCTGGTGGTGCAATGGTTAAGAGCTCGGCTGCTAACCAAAATGTTGGCAGTTTGAATCCACCAGCCACTCCTTGGAAACCCCATGGAGCAGTTCTACTCCGCCCAGTAGGGTCACTATGAGTCAGAATCGACTCGACAGCAACGTATTTGGTTTGGTTTGGGGTCTCAGTTAACGAGCCCTGATGGCACAGTGGTGAAGTGCTCGGTTGCTAACTGAAAGGTCGGCGGTTCAAACCCACCAGCTGCTCCATGGGAGAAAGATGCAGCAGTCTGCTTCCATAAAGATTACAGCCTAGGAAACCCTATGGGGCAGTTCTACTCTGTTCTTTAGGGTCTCTGTGAGTCGGTGTCGACTAGACAGCAGTGGGTTTGAGTCTCAGTTGGGATCTTGAGTTTTAACTGGGTGGGTCAGTTAACCATGCTGTGGTACTTACCACGGAATGCGCTAGCAAGTTGGTTACTAATACTTAATCCCTAAGAGACAAAGGTGGTAAGTGTGGAGAGCCGGGCTGAATTGGCGTCAGTCTATTCCCTGTGCGAGAAAAGCTACTCTAAATGCATGCCACATAGGCAGTGTCTCAGGGCCCCCCACTCCATGTACTAAGCGGAGAGAGCACAGATTGTGAATTTTTCAAGACTGAAGTAAAACTATTTCGAGTAGCTAAAAATTATGCAACAGTTGAGGGAAAAATATGCTGACTGTTCCATGATGATTTACTGCTGAAAGGGCCAAAGTGTCATAAAGGTGACACCTCACACAAATTCATGCCCACATGCATATTTCATAAAAAGGAAGCTGAGGCCCAGGAGAGCATGCTTTAGAGCTAAAGACAGGGCTGGAATACATGCCACCTGGTTACTGATGAATGGAGTTTTGCTCTATTTTCGTGCTTGAGACATGAGGGCTTGATTCTTTTCTATTCTGTTAGCTACCTGTAGCTTAGGCAACTCAGATTAATTCAGCAAACTTTTATTATGTGCCCTGGTGGAGCACTAGTTAAGTGCTTAGCTGCTAACCAAAAGGTTGGTGGTTCGAAGCCACTGAGTGGCTCCGCAGGAGAAAGACCTAGTGATCTGCTTCTGTAAAGATTACAGCTCAGAAAACCCTGTGGGTTAGTTCTACTCTGTCACATGGGGTCACTATGAGTCTGAATCTGCTCGACGATACCCAACAACAACAACTATATGTAAGATGCTGATAGGCTACAGGACAGTATTTTTTTTTAAAGATGACCTTCAGACCACTTGCATGCAAATAACCAGGGGTTGTTTATAAAAATGCAGATTTCTAACCCCATCCTGTCTTAGCAAATAGTATCTCAGAGATACTGCATTTCAAACAAACTTTTCTAGTGACTGTTAAGCACATTAAAGCTTAAGATCCACAGCAACCTTTGATCTCTAGGGTTGGGAATAGGTTTTACTCACTTACGTGTCCCGCAGACTATAAAGAAATACCTATTACCACCACACACAGAGTAAAAGTCAGAGCAGGGCTTGGGAGGTATCATGGAATGAGAGGAGAGTGATACGTTTTGACTGGGGAGAGTGCAACGCTCTTCTCAGAAGTGTTATTTGAATGAGCCCTGAGAGGCTGTGATAGGAGAAGGGTAGATGGGACGCTAACTGGGGATGTAGCACAGCCGTAGTGCACATTCATGCATCTGCTGAATGGGAAGTTTTGTTGTTTGGGGAATGTTCCAGAGGAAACGTTGTTGGTGTGTGTCATGGAGTCAATTCTGAACTTGTAACAACCCTATATGAAAGAGTAGAACTGCCCCATAGGGTTTCCTAGGCTATAATCTTTATAGGAGCAGATCACCAGGTCTTTCTCCCATGGAGCGGCTGGTGGATTGGAACCACCCACCTTTCAGTTAGCAGCCGAGCACTTAACCATTGTGCCACCAGGGCTCCTCAGAGGAAACATAGGAAGATGCAAAGGCAGCCAGGCAGGAGGTATGACATCAGTACGGGAAACTCTTGAATTTCATGCTAAGGAACTTGAACTTTGGAAGGAGGCTGGGAGAGCCGTCAAGAGCTTCAACCAGAAGGGTGATATCAGATATGAGTTTTAGAGACTGGTGCTGTGAAATGATTGGAAGCTGGAAGTGCAGTTAAGCAAAGGTAGTAATTCAGGTGAGAAATTTGAGAACAGAGAGCGTATGAATACTAACAGTGGGGATGGAGAGAAGGAGGCTGATTCTAGGACGTGGCCAAACAAGGGAAGAGGGAGGAGAAAAACACTGAGACTGGTGATTCTGGTGGTTAGGTGGAGAGTGCAGCTCCTAACCAAACATGAATATGTTGTTGCTATTGTGTTGTTAGGTGTCGAGTCGATTCTGACTCACAGCGACCCTGTATATAACAGAACGAAACGCTGCCCAGTCCTGTGCCATCCTCGCAGTCATTGCTCTGTTTTAGCACATTGTTGTAGCTACTGGTCAATCCATCTTATCAAGGGTCTTCTTTCTCGCTGACCTAGCTGGGGTGAGGAGGGGGATGAGGTAGTTTTTAGCACGTTCATTCTTAAATTGTCAGTGATATCCTTGTGGATTATTTCCTTTTCAGAAATGCCAATCCCTGCCAAGAAGCAAGATAGACTAAGAGTTGAGAAGCTAATTTAGAAACGATGAGATCACAGGTAGCTTTTCAAAGAACTGCTTCAGTAAAGCATTTGCGGTATTGTAGATCTAAAAAAGACTGAGCACCTACCATGTGCCCAGCACTGTTCTAGCTTTTAGACCAAAGCAGACACGCTTCCTGCCTTTGTGGAATTTACAATATGGTAGGAGAGATAGACCACCAAAAATCAAATACAAAACAAGACACCATGAGGAATGCTCTGTAGAACAAATGTAGGGAACTGGGAGAGTGTTGAACAGAATGGGATCTGGCCTGGGGAGTTATTAAAGCCTTCCCTGAGAAGTTGTCCCTGAACCTGAGGAATGAACGGGATAGTAGAAGTGTAGTAGTGGGGGAGAGAGTAAGCCATGGCTTGAGTAGAAAGCAGGATCAAGGGAAGTTTTGTTTTTTTCCTTTTAAGGAAAGGATAGATTTGACACAGTGGTTAAGTGCTCAATTGCTAATTGAAAGGTCAGCAGTTTGAATCCACCAGCTGCTCTGCTGGAGAAAGATGTGGCAGTCTACTTTCATAAAGATTAAAAAAAACCCAACCAAACCGAACCCATTACTGTCAAGTCTATTCCGACTCAGAGAGACCCTATAGGACAGAGTAGAACTGCCCCCATGGTGTTTCCAAGGAGCAGCAGGTGGATTCAAACTGCTGACCTTTTGGTTAGAAGTGGAGCTCTTAACCACTGCACCACCAGGGCTCCCTGTAAAGGTTACAGTGTTGGAAATCCTATGGGGTAGTTTTACTCTGTCCTATGGGGTCAATATGAGTTGGAATCGACTGGACAGCAATGGGGTTGGTTTGGTTATATTTATATTTATTTACAAATTTATATATGTACATATATATATATAAAGGAGCCTCGGTGGCACAATGGTTAAATGTTTGGCTACTAACTGAAAGGTTGGCGAATCAAATCCACCAGCTGTTCTGTGAGAGAAAGACTTGACATCCTGCTCCCATAAAAACTGTTGTTGTTAGGTGCTGTAAGTCGGTTCTGACTCATAGTGACCGCATGCAGAACATAACTAAACACTGCCCAGTCCTGTGCCATCCTCACAAACGTTGCTATGCTTGAGCCCATCATTGCAGTCATTGTGTCAATCCATCTCGTTGAGGGTCTTCCTCTTTTTCGATGACCCTCTATTTTACCAAGCATGATGTCCTTCTCCAGGGATTGGTCCCTCCTGATAACATGTCCGAAGTAAATGAGACTACGTCTCACCATCCTCGCTTCTAAGGAACATTCTGTGGCTGTACTTCTTCCAAGATAGATTAAAGATTATAGCCTAGGAAACCCTGTGCGGCAGTTCTACTCTAT